TTAGATTCATATAAATGATCTGTTTATATTATCTAGGCAATATGATGCTTTTCTTTATGAAATGTTTTCCTGTAGGAATCCTTCCTGCATTTACAGAGATGGGAACAGCAGACAACACTACTCTCTTTTTGTTCAGTGTTTGCACCTTCACCTATCATCCCTTCCTTCCTTCCTTCCTTCCTTCCTTCCTTCCTTCCTTCCTTCCTTCCTTCCTTCCTTCCTTCCTTCCTTCCCTCCCTCTGTTTTTGGTGTAGTACAGGGACTTGAACTAAGAGCGTGGGTACTCCCACTTATTTTTTTCACTCAAGGCTGGTGCCCTACCATTTGAATCACACCTTCATGTCTGACTTTTTGCTGATTAATTAGAGATAAGAGTCTCTGGCTTTGAACTAGGATCCTCAGATTTCAGCTTCCTGAGTAGCTAGAATTACAAGCATGAACCACTAGTGCCTAGCCTAGCCAATGTGTGTGTGTGTGTGTGTGTGTGTGTGTGTTATGTGTGTGTGTGTGTGTGTGTGTGTGTGTGTGTGTGTGTGTGTGCATGTGCATGTGCATGCTGGTCCTGGGACTTAAACTCAGGGCTTCAGTGCTCTAACACATTGGAGCCACAGCTCCAATTCCAGGGCTGTTTTGTTTGGTTTTGAAGCATTAACTGAGAAAAGGTAGAAAGGAAGCTCTCAGTCAGAGAGAGAGAGAGAGAGATGCCTGACACAAAGGAAGGAAGAAACAGGCCACGTTTTCCTAATGCCTTCTATTATCTTGGCAAACATACAAGCCAAGAGCCACTCTCCTCTGTACAGTTTGCTGTGGCTCAGGCTACAGTGCTAACCGAAGGAGGACACAGGTCCCAGAGCTGCTGTGGGTGGGATCAGAGGACCAGATTAGATCTGATCATCTAAACCAGAGCAACCAAAAGAGGAATGAATGAGTTGATTACTGTATCCAAGTTTAGAACAGCTCAGTTGCAGAGAACATTTGTGTATCTCCTAATATAAATAAGACATACCAGCACTGCATGAAGTTAGGATTTAACAAAGGTAACTTGAGTTAAGTGAGGTCAATCAAAACAGATGTTAACAAAACAGATGTTAAAGGAGAAACTTCCTGAGGCAGGTCTTACTATATGCTAGATTTGGGCACTAGGCAGGCAAGGTCCACAGCAACATGTTAAGTTATACCTGCCAGCTGAATGATCAACACTAAGACCATGTTTAGGGTTAGGAGCTTCCATTGAAGCCCATCCATATTTTCCCTTACTTATACTTATCAAAGGTCAATGAGTACAATTGTTAGAAATTATGGTTTCATTTCTTAATAATCTCACAAATTTTTATAAGCCTGTTCAAAATTCTAGTGCATCTGTAAGAAAACCAGTATCAGCCAGCAACACAATCTGTTATGACAGTCATTTCATTCAGAGGTAATTTTTTTTATCTCATATGTTTCCAGAGTAAATAGATAAAGAATCTCTTTGACACCCACGTGAGTAAACAGCTTACTGATCAAAAAGTAGACATCAGTTTTTCTCTCTCTAAATCAGAGGAAAATCTTGCTGTACTTTCTTGCCAAGAAGTGAATCCTGTTTTTGTTTATTGCTCTTAGGGCCTATCTCCTGCAGAATCAAGAATAGTTTAAGGCAATCTGGACGATTTGCACTTATCACAATTTGGAACAGAGTTCTGCAGAGTCTGACTGGCAGCAGAATTAAAAGCTTTCCAGTTCCACTGTGCTGTTAGCAATCTCGATGATCCTGATTTTATTTTTTTAATACTGAAAACAAATAATAAAACTACTGTGTACGGATTAAGTAGCCTTACAAGTAAATGTTCATCTTCACTTTCTTCATAATACAGGCATGAGATAGAGTTCAAGTAAAGAATGGAGTGAGCCAAAATCAAATGGCTTGTTCATTAACATAAAATAAGAAGAATACATTTTTACTGTTTGTGGGGAAACATTCTTTGGCACAGCTTTCTATAAACTAGCAGGAACAGAACCCCATGGAATTAAGTAAATTGTAGGTAGATATTTAGCTGGGCTAGTGCCAAACTGCCCTTCCCCCAAAAATTTATAATTCAGATTCTGCTTGTGGAAATAATATGTTAAAAGTCTGTGTTATTAGAATATACTAATTCTAGAACAAATTCTTCCTGGGGAAGTTTTATGTGTTTTACCATACTCAAATACAGATCTTAAATATTTTACATATTCAACCTGTGTTTAGTGTCCAGTTAAGCTTGGTTATTTTCTTTTCCTAAATAAATTTTGCTTTGGGGGTTAATGCTCATCTTTCTCATGAAACTTTTTGTTTTTGAACATGAAACGCTTCATTTTTGTCCATCCTGGGGTTTGAACTCAGGACTTCATGCTTGCTGGCAAGTAGTCTACTACTTTAACCAGCACCTTCAACCCTATTTTGTCTTAGTTATTTTGAGGACAAGATCAAGTTAGATAATGCCCAGGAGTTACAGGAGAGGTCAGACACAAAGCAAGCTGTGCAAAATGTTCTATTTTAGAGGAGAAAGCAGTTGTACCTTTAGTTGTCAACTAGATGTAGAAAATGTCTCCAATATTATAGCAGTAAAGCAGTATCTTATTTTTTTTAGTTTATTTTGTCTGAATTGAACAGTCACACAAAATAATCAACATTTTTTCATAAGCATCATGTTTTCCTTTTGTTGCTTTTTCACACTTCACCAGCAACTCATTGAGATGTAAGTGTGCCTTGTTGGAAGCAGCTATTCACTAGACAGCATCGTTTCTGAGACGTCCTTCCGTAGCTATAATCTCTCCTCATCTAAAGCAAGATGCCTGCCTATACCAACAAGGCCAACTGGGACTCGACATGGTTTAATTTCCTGGGATTCACTCATGTACAGAGTCTAACTTGTATTTCCATTGATAAGGATATGCCAGTACATGATACAATGAAAAGGAAATATCAGATTGACTTCTTTTGAAATATGGAATTTGCTTAGTAGGTATTTGATTCTGTGCTATTGATTTAGAGATCTACCACCTCTCTCTTGGTGTCCCAGAGGTGCTTAGCAATTGCACATCAGTAATTCTTCACCTAAAAAGGGTGAAACAGAAAAAAGAAATATGAAATATAAAAAGAAGCATCTTCAAAAGTATTGAGTTGCCTCTGTGTCCCTCAGGTAATCAATCTTCAGGATGCATAGAGTTGAGAAAATTATGGAAACTTCAGAAATTGCACTGGACACGGGATTTATTTGGCCATCTTAGGTCAAAAGTTTATATTTCAGATATGATAGAGAAATATCTCAGTTTACTTGAAACATGTGATTATTTAGGCAAAAATGCACCTGTTCCTATATGCCATGAGGTAGTACCAAGGTGTTCTATTGGTCAGAGTTAGCTTTCTCTCAAGGCTCAATGTCATGATATTCTCTCCCTTCCTTCCCTCCCTCCCTCCCTCCCTCCCTCCCTCC